GGGGGGGGGGGAAATAGGAAGAGGGTGAAAAAATTGTCGGCAAAGTCCCAAAAACCCAAAGCGAGGCTTTTCGGAATTAGTAACGCCTGAAGCAGGGAGGGACAGAGGCAGGATGAACAGGAGAGAAAAGATCTTCGGTGAAGAGCAAGTACCACCGCCTCCTGATCCGAGAGCACGAAGAGTGCAGAGAAGGCGAGAACAGCACAGACTGAGCAGGCTACTCGGGGAGGAAAGCGCCCTGCCCATCTTCACCAGGCACACCTGGGGAATGAGATTTAAGGAGACGCTCGGGGAAAGGGCATTGGTCGGGAACAAATGCTGAGTTGACCTTTGAACCTGCCAAGAGTCCTTTTTTGATGTTCTGAACTAATTACCGTATTTTTCGGAGTATAAGACGCACCTTTCCCCTCCCCAAAAGAGGGTGAAAATTAGGTTGCGTCTTATACACCGAATGTAGCCCCATCCACCCACCTTCCCCCATTCTTTGGCTTCTGCCTCCCAGCAATTTACCTCCTTGCAGCAAACGGGGGGGAAAATGGGGCTTGCGGAGGCTGCAATAGGCTATAGCAATCCTTGCAGCCTGAAACAGCTGATCGTTGGGAGGCCCATGCTGAAACTGAAAGCAAAACTGGCTGTTTGCTCCCCGAGGAGGCAAATTGCTGAGAGGCAGAAGTAGATTTTTTCCCCCCTTGTGCTAATCAGTCTGTTTGCTGCAAGGAGGCAAGTCAACAACTCTAAATGCCAATTGAATGTTCAAATGATTAGACTTTTTTTTTTAAAGACTGCTTTATTATTGTTCTAGGCAGCTTAACAAAAGGAAGAAGCTTTTTAAAATAAATGCTTGATCTGAAGAGAGCCCCAGTGCTATGGTGTCTTCTTTTTAAATAGCGGAGAATAACTTATATACTTCCAGAAAACACACCAATTTTAACAGCATCTGTACAAGTATAGTTTGAAATGTAACCTTACAAACAAAGGGCATATTGTCTGTGCTGTTTGCTGTTTGCTGCAAGGAGGCAAAGGGAGATTTTCTCTTTGTTTTCCTCCCTAAAAGTGTGTCTTATACTCCGAAAAATGGGCTATCTGGATCTTTTGCTCCCTGATCTCGTTTTTTCAAGTACATTTGGGATTTCTTGCCCTGCAGCCTTTGATGTAGGCAGCAGCTGGACTGGACTAAATCGCAGCCAGAGGTTGGAGAAGCATCTGTATGGTGGTGGGGTTATCACCCTGCTCTGGGGCTTTCCAGAAACGTGGGCAAGATTTGGAGCAATGAAGTGGTGGTTTGAAATGCCAGCTGTTGGCGTTCTCTCTGTGCCTTGCCCCGGGTCATCTACAGAGGTGGGATTTTGAGACCCGGACCATCCCTCGGAGTAGGANCAGGAATCAACGTATTCACTAGAGCTGGAAAAGCTGTCGTGGCTAGCTTGGCAGGCTGGATTGCTGCCAAGGTTAGTCTGTGCTGGATTGCTTCCAACGTCTAGTCTGTGCTGGATTGCTGCCAAGGTCTAGTCTTTGTGTTAATAAATCCTTGAAGTATCTTTGTCTCGGCGTGCTTTGGTGTAGGAAGCGGGGGATCAGAACACAAACCTTTCCCAATGCTGGGTGGTATCCATCCATTTTTTAGCTGGCAGACGTATCCAATATGAAATCTTCTGTTTCCATTTCTAATCCTTATCCTGTTTATTGCCTCTGCTTCCAGTCACTTCTAGACATCTGATTACCCTTGGTGACAAAATCTAAGTGCCAACCTTGGATAGTATTGGGATAAAAACCAAAATGCTACTTTAGCTCCAGCATAACTAGAGGCTAGAATCACATAGGCTAGAATCAAAAGGAAAGAAGCACACGGAAGTAGTAAAATGGTGTTTTGAATGAACAACTCTGTATTACAGGACTTGAATGCTCATCCATTTTAAAAAGCCATGCTATCTCAAATCTGAAGTCTCAAATGGAATGGTACAGTCTTAGATTTAACCATCTTTTCTCAGATATTACCCCCGTTTTCTAAGATCATTTCTTCATGTATGAAATTTTAAGAATGGCAAAGAATTACTTTTAGAAGGTCCATTACTGTATCACTTGAGTCAGGCATAGACCTGAGCTGACAGGGCTTTATTTTAAGGATCCTAAAGATTCCCCTTGCACCAGTCATTCCTGACTCTAGGGGGCGGTGCTCATCTCTGTTTTAAAGTAGAAGAGCCAGCACTGTCCTATTTTTCTACTTCCATTTTTACCTGCTTTCAAACTGCTAGGTTGGCAGAAGCTGGGACAAGTAATGGGAGCTCACTCTGTTACACGGCGCTAGGGATTCGAACGGCCGAACGGCCGACCTTTCTGATCGACAAGCAGCGCCTTAGCCACTGAGCTACCACACCCCTTTTAAGGAACCTACAAGAACTCAAATAAGGCTTGTATAAGAGCCGAGGTGGCGCAGTGGTTAGGGTGCAGTACTGCAGGCCACTTCAGCTGACTGTTATCTGCAGTTCAGCGGTTCTAATCTCACCGGNGTGGCCTGCTTTCCGGGTCCACTGGTGGAACCTCTTCTAACCGGTTTGGTAGATTTAACGAACCGGTTCTACCGAATAGGTGCGAACTGGTAGGAGCCCACCTCTGCCTTCTGGAAAGGGAAAATTGGAGGGGAGTATCTCTTTTTAGGATCTTAGGGGGGAAAATGACTTTGTTACAATATGATGGAAATCAGGAAAGGAAATGTGATTTCCTTTCTTGCTTTGATATTTATACAGACCTAAAGGAGGATTATTGAAGTGTTGTTGTTTTTCCCCCGAAAAGAAAATTATTCAAAAAGCGAAGTTTGAACAGGCTTTCCAATACAATTGTATAAATAATAGAAAGTAAACTGCAGGGGTCAGCATAGAGCATATTAGGAAAACTATGTGAACTCTGGAAAAAAAAAGAACCCAGCTTTATTATCCAAATATTTAATTTTAACACATAAATTCAACATGGCAAAACAACAACTAGTTTTCCCAAAGAATGCCTGTGATTTGAGGCATAAAGTCTCAAAGCATTGTGCTGTTGCCACCTGTGACCAATTAGAATCCAAATATTTAGTACGAGAAGCAATTCGCAGAGATTTTTTTGACACACTACAAAATTTGATGAACTATGAAGGGCCCTATATAGAGCCCGGAGGAATTCAGCTATTTAATGCACTCATTATTGTTTAGGGAAGTGGGGAGAGATAAAACAAGTTATTTGCCATGAGTGGCAGTAGATTTTCCTGATCCCTGCATCGGAATTAAGGATGTTTCTCTACACAAAGAGGGACACAGCTTTGACACCCGAGACTGGGCCATCAATTAAGCCTCCCAGAGAGATGTCCAAGTTCTTATTTCACAACTTGGCACGTGATTGTTCAAATGTGTCCAGATTTCAATCCCTAGAAATCCCAATGACATTCTAGGGGTCTTGTTATCAACCTAAATTGGAGGATACAATATTTCACCAATTCCAGTATCTGTTTCTAAACAGATCTAGAAATGTATGGTTTGTTCATCATTCAGCTCCTCTTCCTCATTCATCCTTATAAAGCAATTCACCAGAAGAGCCGAGGTGGCACAGTGGTAAGGGTGCAGTACTGCAGGCCACTTCAGCTGACTGCTATCTGCAGTTAGGCGGTTCAAGTCTCACCGGCTCAAGGTTGACTCAGCCTTCCATCCTTCCGAGGTGGGTGAAATGAGGACCCAGACTG